AGATTAAGGTAAACCATGAGTTTACTTTTGGAAGGGTCAACTCTGTGACACGTAAGACCTCCAAATAGAAGGTGACGTAGAAAGCTGTATAGAGTCCAGCGCTACGGAGACATCTGGGCAGGAGGTAGGAGAGATTTGGGACACAGTGGAGAATGGCACTGCAGTTTGTGCTTTTCAGTGGGCTCACCCTGGAAACACAAGAAGAGCGTAGGGTTCTGAGCAAGTGAAAGACACTGAGGTGAGGAAGCCGAGGAGACAGCAGAGAATTGAAGGAAGCCAGGCAGCCCGTGTCGGGAGCACCTGGAGATGAGTGCAGAGGAGACACCGGGCACTGTGGTTACGTGATGAATGGGTCAAATGAAGAGAGCCAGAAAGTGTGTGCTGGGTTTGCTGGGGACAGAAATAAGATCATAACATGTTCAGTGGGGAAATGAGAGGAGAAAAAGATGCCATCTGTAAGTACAGACGTTTTCAGAAAGATTGGGCAACTGGAGTAGGAAGTCGCTGAATCGAGCTAGAGCAGAGTGAGAATTTACGAAGTTGAAAGGATGTTCAGGTGATAGTTTTTTTTTTTTCTTTTTCTTATTCTTTTTGAAGACCATAGCATCTAATCTATAGTTTATTTATAAGGTGAAGGGTAAGAACGAGGGAAGAGAGAAGGAAAAGAAATTGGGAGTGACCAGCAATGCCTCCCAGGAAGCAGGAGGGTCTGAGACCCCAGTAGCACTAAGACTATCTCATCCCCGGAGAAGGGAGCATAAACAAAACAACAGACTTTGAAATGTAACTGGGAGTGACAAAAACTATGCATCTTAGTACTTCTTTGTTTTATAAGTAACAAAAGCAAGAACATTTCAAATCCTAATTGCCACAAATTTAGTTCCTTTTCTTCTAAAAATTTTTACAATAAACTATAAGCACATGCACAGCAAATTCACTCAGGCCTATTTCAAAGGTAAACCAAGAAAGAAATAATAAAAATATGTTCTATTTAGAAATTTTATTTTGGTCCAGGGATTTAGCTCAGCAGTACTGCAGCTTGCCTCCCAAACATAAGCTCCTGAGTTCAGTCCTGGTACTGAACAACAACAACAACAACAACAACAACAAAACATTGTGTTTCATCTTTTGGAAAGAAAGCATGCTTGTTATGCAACTCTCAAACCTTCAGGTGATCTAAGACAGAAGCTTTCAAAGTTTAGTCTTGGGCTCCCTTGAAATTCTTTGAGACCCTTTCAGTAGGTCTGTGATCAAAACTACTTTATCATAATCTGAAGGTATTTCTCCTTTCTTATGATGGCATGGTAGAATTTTCCAGAGTGTGTATGTGTGATTTTATAATAGAATAAATACAGAAGCAAATACGGTAATCTGGCTGTCTAGTATTTAAGGCAGGAATTAATGAAATTTGCACAACTGTGAAACAATATCATCCTATTCAATAACATCTTGCCTTGGAAAATAGTTATTTTTACCGCGGGGCGTGATGGTGTACACACAGTCCCAGCTTAGCAGGAGGCTGAAGTAGAAGAATCACTTTCACCTACAAGTTCAAGACCAGCCTGAGCAAAATAAGGAGACACCCATCTTGAGAATGCTGTATGTGTTAATGTTATAAATTTATTACCATTTTTTAAAATTAATATTGTTTTTCAGAATTTCTTGGTTTAAACTAGTACTAATATAGTAAATAGTTATAACACACAAAAGCAAAACCTCTTTGGACTCATTTTTTTTTTTTTTAATGTAAGGAGTTCCTGGGAACTTTTATCTAAAATAGCTTTCCTGCTTCTAATGATTGTATCTCTTTGAGGGAAGCTAAACAATCATATTCCACATTTTTCCCTCTTCCTGGTTCTTGATTTAAAATAATGGAAAATATAGAAATCCTGTTAGTCAAAGGTGACCAGTGGATCTGGAAAAAAATGAAGTCATGATTTCTGTCACTTTTTCATTCAAATTCATTTGAATGCATCTCTCCACATATGTATAGATTACATGATGGCCCTTAGTAAGTCATTTATAGCAAATTATCCCCACATGTCTTTTTAAAAGCCAGTTCATGACCTTTGGCATTTTGTTGCTTTGGTTTGCTTTTAAATTTATCCCACTGGTAGTGCATAGCTACAAATTATATTATCTAAAACTAAACTTCTTTTATCCAACCTAGAACTCCAAATCATTTTCTTTTTGTTCTTGTTATTTTGCCATTGTTACAATTTGCACTTAGAACACAACCATAACTCAGTTTGAGAAAGGTAGAACAATGTGCAAAAAGAATATTCATATAGTACTACTGTTAAATCAAAATTTACCAGATCATTTCATTTGCTGTTGTATAGCAGTTAGTGTCAATTTCTTTCTAAAGTAATGGCGCTTCTAAATTAGGTAAGAATTGGGGAGGGAGGATCAATATCTTCTGTTGGTTCCAAATGTATGTTCCAAAGCTGTACGATGCTTCTGTCTTCTCTTCTGACCCTGCTTACATGAAGATACAATATGTGCTGGCTTAGGTGGCCCTTGGTCTGGTAGGTTACTGTTGCCTGTCATTCCTTCTGTTGTGGGACACACTGACAGCTTCTGCAGAGACCTTTCTGTGGCAGGACAATGCTCTCACCCCGGTGCCACTCAGGTGTTACTGGCTCCTCAGCTGTCTGCTCTCACTCTGCTTCCTGTGAGACTGAGGTGACATCATCTGCCAGGAAACAGTCTCACAAAGACCCTTTCCAGAGAGACTCAAGACTGATTCCTTTGTGAAGCATCCATACCAGGTCCATAAGAAATGTGCATCCTTTCCCAGCTATCATTTCAGGGTAAATGAACCTCAGTGAGGCCCTCTAATCTGTCTGTTTTTCATGAGTGAGCCAGTTTTCAGCTCCTGTTTCCTCAACTCACTGAGTGATTTGGAAACCACACTATGACCATCACCACTTCACCTGGGTAGAATGAACTCCCTTCCTTCTCACTGGACTTGGGAAGGAGAAAGATTGCAGCATACTGGCAACTTTTGCTCTTAATCCCACAGAAAAATGTGCAAAGGAAATAAACAGTCAGTCCATTCACAGAAGATAAAAACTAATGGATCAATAACCATTTAAAGAAGCTTAATTGTACCAGTTATCAGGAAGAGACAAATTAAATCAAACTTAAAACAGTCTTTACACTCACTCCATTTTATACTCCAGCTCAGCAAAAGATAAAAATGTAGACTTAACAAAAAATTGCATAAATATACATATATATGTACATATTTATACACATGTTTGGGCAAGTGAAAAATCGATGAAGCTTTTGAGAATTGGTGATTTTGGAATACACATTAAAATAAAAACTTTACCTACCTCTTGACTTTACCTCCAAACTTGCTTCTAGGTATCTGTCCTATCAAAATATCAGCAGAACTATGCAAATATGCCAGTGAAAGTAAATTTATTACTGCTGTGCAGTTTTCCTATTGCTGGACAAAATACCCAACAACCACAATTCTAAGGAGGAGGGGTTTACTTGGCTCATGATATCAGAGAATTCAGTCCGTGGTTAGCTGGCTCTGGGAAGAAATACCATGGGAGGAAGGAGTAATAGAGCAGAGCTCCTTAGTTCATGGTGGCTGAGAAGCAGAGAAGGAACAGCACCAGAGCCAGGGTTCAGGAACCAGATACAGACTATACCTCTTTGACTCACTCAGACACAGCCAGCAGTGTGCCTTACGAATGTCCTAGGCAGCTTCCAAGCCAACCAAGTGGACTGTGAAGCTTAAGTATCGCAACTGAATAACTTATAATTTAAAAAAAATTCAAATTGGCTTGAATGACCATCAAAACATATAACAAATTTATGATACAACAAACACAATAGATGCAAAAGTTAAATAAATAATCTGAAGTGTAGAAAATGTTTCACATACTAAGTAAAAAAGCTGTGTAAAAATTCATATTAATGCCACATTTAAAAAAGAAAATTGAGGGCCAGGGATTTACCAGTGGTTCCGCTGCCTGCCTCGCAAGCTCAAGGACCCGAGTTCGATCCCTGGTACCAAAATAAATAAATAAATAAATAAATAAATAAATAGAAAATTGAGAAAATCAAAGATATCTCCTTGTATATATATATATCCATATTTTCAAATGTATAAAATATTCAAACCAGCTTTATGGAAAAAAAACTGATGAAGTATTTTTTGAAAAGGAATTGTAACTGAGGAATAGAGACAGGTAGGACTTCAACATTTACAATGGGAGTATATTGAATATGACTATGCGGATTCTACAAAATAATGAAAATAAAATGAATGGAGCTGCTAGAAATGATCTTTCAGACTTAACCTGAATGATAACTTTCAATTTCTGTATTGACAGTTGGATTTCCTAACTCTCAAGAGTCTCAGAGCATTCATCATCATCAAACTATTTATTAAAGATAGTTCTATATATTAGAACACATCTACATGTTTATTCAAACAGTAATTATAAATTTTTACTGTGGTTGTAAGTTTCAAAAATTACTCAGTTATGCTTTTCAGATATGAAATAGACAAATTTCGACACATAGAACTTTGACTACTTTATTATTCTGTCTAATATGATAATATGCCTAATATGAACTGTATAATATTCTCTGAGGAACAAATATTTCATTCTGGGAATTAATTCTAAAATTTAAGTTGCATTTTATGTTTGATTAATTATTCTGTGTGTGTAATTACATGTTTCTGTGTGTGTGTGTGTGTGTGTGTGTGTGTGTGTGTGTGTGTGTTGTGCTGGGGACTGAATAGAGGGCTTCGTGCATGCTAAGCAAGTGCTCTATCACTACTCCAAAACCCTAGCACTCAAGAGGTACTCAGTGTATATAGTGTAAAACATGTTTTCCTTTGTGATATTTATTTTGTCATTATGTGTGCATTGTTGAATCACATAAAACTATTACAGTTCTTAAAAGATTAAATATAGATTCTGCAATCATAAGCAGAATTACACAAATGTTGCTTATTTCTCCCCATGCAGTACTTACATGAAAATGGAATCGTCCACCGTGATCTCAAACCCGAGAATCTTCTGTATGCGACCCCAGCCCCAGATGCACCACTTAAAATCGGTAAGAGCATTTTCTGATGTTTCAGGGCATGTTTTCCCAGAGCAGAAGAAATGTGTTCTGTGACATTTTATGATATTGCTCTATCCTTTATCACCTCCATCCAACTTCCTCTACTATTTGATATCTTGGAGGACTAACCCTCTATTTTGGAAGTATGTGCTCTTTCTTGGAATGTGGATCTGGAAACTAGCACTAGATATTGGTGTTCCATTGCTGGACACACATGAGAATCACAAGTTTTAACAGGTGTGAGAACCTCAGGACACTGCCTTGTATTTTGTAGATAGATTTGTAGTGAAAACCGAATGTTTCTTTTTGGTTATTGACTTGTTCCACAAACTATTTGGAGTTTAACTAGGTGATTGAGAATTTTGACACAAAATGCTTAGTACATATTAGTGAAACTGGATCCTGAATCATTTGTTTACATGAACAGAGAAAAATCAAGGCCTGTTCTTCCCAAAAAGTACCCCCACCCAAGGAACTTGGCCCTTCAGTAGGGTGAGGAGTGACCTTTTGTCCTGGGGTGGGTGGGGCTGTTATGCAATTTGCAAAGATGCTAAGGTTGGTCACATAAGGTATGAAATTCCAACTTAAACAAGATTTTAATTTCTTCAGTACTCTCTCAGAACCTTAAAAATATTAATATGCAGACTAACATATAGTGTACTATAAGGCTTTTCTCAAAATTTATTAACACCCCTCCCAAACATTTTGAAGAACTCCAAAAACAAACTTGGAGAAATTCTGATCTACCCAAAGAAATCAATCAGCATTTAAGAAAAAGCACAGTAAGTGTTATTTTCCATATAACCTCCAAAACAAATCTTTATTTCCAAAAAATGTTTTAAAAAGTTTTAGATGCATTCTCCTTAGTTAAAGACCCTGTGTTAAGTCCTTCGAAGGTCATTGCATTTCTGGTGCCGTCCAGGTGCACTAAGCTAATGTGTTCGCTGCATTTACAAGTGTTAACACCTTTGAAAATTAAGTTGTTCTCTCCCAGAAGAGCTCAAGCAACAGAGTGTGCTTCATGAATGCAAGAACCTAAAGAATAACACCCTGGAAATCCTGCTGGGCAGCCAGCTCTTCTCCTGATCACTCCTGAAAGGCAGTGAACAGCAGGGTGTTCACATTTCCTCTGACATCACTTTCAAAGATTGGATCCTTAAAGAAATTCCTTTAAATGGATGGATAGATACTAATTTAAGCAGGAGCCCTTCTTTCTGAGGGGCTTCCTGCTGCTTTCACTGATAAGGATCAGGCACCTCCACCTCCGTGGAAATGTAGGTTTATCTTTGAAGTCTAAAATGGCATCCATGACGCACTGCCTCTCTTGAAGAATGGCCTTGAGCGGTTTCCTGATGTTTCTTCAGGGATGGTATCCCAGCAAATAGATCCTAATGTAGCAATTTTGATAATGTCTTACCCAGCTAATTCTACGGGGAATAAATAAAAAATATTTTTGCCCCAAATGGTCTTATACTCTCTTATGAGGGTAAATTTTTATCTGTCAAATGCATTAGGGATGGAGGTTATTCATTTTCAATTACACTAAGGCTTTTGATGTTTCTATTTCTATGACATTTATGAAAGTCTACCTTTTTAATCTTCAGCAATGGATTTAAGGTTCTTAATTATATCCAAGTCTATATTGTCCCTTAGAATTACTGTCAAATAAACCTCAGAATTAAAAACACTATGACAAAACGTAACTATTACAGTGGTTAGGTTAAGAAAAAAAAATCTTATTTCCCAAGAACTGGAAATTATAGAGAAGAGCAAAGATTAAATATAAATTTATTTGTAAACGTGTTGAGGAATCATGTTTTTCTCCAAATTAAAAACTTGAATTATTTTTTTAGCTTCCTCTCTCAGGTAGCTTGTCCCCAACCACATTCAAATACAAAAGCAAACAAACACGTAAATAAATTAGGTTTCTCTTCAAAGAACTGACGTGCGTGTAACAGCTGTGAAGAGACTTGCTTCATTCGATTTGTTTTTGTTGTCTTGACAGCTGATTTTGGACTCTCTAAAATTGTGGAGCATCAGGTACTCATGAAGACAGTGTGTGGAACCCCGGGGTACTGCGGTATGCTCTTTAACACTGATATTTTACCTTTGACTTCTTATTTTCAACTCCTCATTTCTCTACTTATGAACACTTAAATTTGCTGTGTGTCTCCATGATAAGTAATATAAAAATGACAGATCACCTCCTGTTGCTCCTGAGGGGTTCTGTGATGTTAGCTATCGGACACCTCTGTTAAACTTTCATTTGGGCAGGAGCTACTCTTAGGAGAAAGAAGATAATCACTAGGAAAAACTCCGTGTTAACATTTTATAACTTAATTTTGATATGTTGGTTTCCCTGGTAAGTTTAAAATACTATTTTCTTGCAACTCATTAAGCCATTCACCCTGCTATAATGTAACTCCTTAGACTAGGAATTTATAAACAACCAAAAATGATTGCTCACAGATCTGAATGCTAAGAAGTAGTGTCCTCATGTGGTGGAAGAGTTAGTGGTTTCTCCTGGTCCTTTTTCAGAAGGGACTCCACCTTTGTAACTTACTCACCTCCCCAAAGCCCTACTTCCTAAAGCCATCAACTTGGGAGAGATTAAGATTTCATAATATGAACCTCAGGTGACAAAGACACATGGTTTAGCATTAAGAATGGGGTTAGGAGGCTGAGGGTAGAGCTCAGTGGTAGAGCACCTCCACCCAGACAATGCAAGGCCCTCGGTTCATTGCCCCGTGTCTCAAAAAATAATATTGGGTCATACAACTCATTGCCTCTATCATAAACTTATGAAGCAAGTTTTCCAAACAGGAGAAGATATGAAAACCATTAGACTATATTATGCCTGATACAGATGTCTTCTTGTTTGGTTTTTATGTCTTTTTTTTTTTTTAACCTTAAATGGTTCCCTTGACAATCTCTCTATGGACCTTCCCTCCTACTGGTGCCATATGGACTTGCCCTGTCCCCAATTCATATCCCTTTATTTGTCCTCCTACTACATTTCTTTCATACTTCCAGCTCTCCAAGACTGGGCTTGGGGGCAGCTAAATTTGCTGCCATGTGCCAGACAAGATTGCCCATTTATCATCACTAATTGCTAACCCATTGATAGAATTGGAAGAGAATTGAGAAAAGAATGATAAAACAAATTAAGGATTCCTCACAAGAAGAAAGCTGATGGACAACTTAGTAATAATTATCTAATGCCAGACACTAAGTACTCCCAGCAGGTGGGTAGTTTGCACAGTTTCCTGAGAACTGAGCAGCCTTGGATTAGAGAGGATCAAAAAGATAGTAAATGAGTGATCTCTAAAGAGTCTCTTTTGTGACTACTAGCAAGCAGTATCGTTTCAAGGTCTGTAATTATAGTGATGACAGCAGTTCTCTCTTACAGCAATTCAGAGTGGTCAATTTATGAAAGAATGACACATTCATTGATAAATAAACAGTGAATGACTAACAGACTCCACTAAGGTTACAAGGATAAACACAATATGGTCTTGTTCTTCATTGATTTCATGGACTACAAAAGAAGAAAAGCTTATATATAGTAATTTGAAGTTTGCTGTGATGAGTTCTATGTTTACGTGAGTCAAATGCTTGGGGAGACAGAAGGAAAGGAATTGTTAGTCCTGGCTGGAAATATCTGACAGAGAAGGGAATTAGAGCTGGACATTGATGGCTGGATAGAAGTTCAACAGGGAGGTCATGGGCACTCTTCGTCAGTGGGTACAGGGAGAGCAAAGTCGTGGAGGAGTGGCAACGCCTGACAGTTTCAGGGGCTGTTTGTCTCTTTGCCACTTTGTACAACTGGAACTTAGAGTCCTTGGTGCAGAGGTACAGATTTATAAAGGTAGGATGGACCACATTTTTAGAGAGTCTGTACATCAGGCTAAGGAATTCAGATTATTTGGTGTAATGGTGATACACAAACATTTACCTTCAGGGCGGTACCTTGAAATCAAGTTTGTATTTTATAAATGTCTAGATTATGACACAGTATGACAGATGGATTTGAGGGGGAGAGATGGCAAGAAAACAGACAAATTAAAAAGCTATTGTAAATTTCCTTTCCTATCTTTCTAAGTCAGAAATCCACACAAATGCTGCTGTCCCTTCTTAAATAGATTCTCAGTGGATAGCATATTTGATCTATTCATAAATCCAAGCACTTTTAGGTGTAAAATACTGTTTTCATCTCTTGTCCTTGACATAAGCATACTCATTTCATAGACAATGTTATTTTACAATGGAGATCTAGGGGCTGGGGATTTAGCTCAGGGGTTCCAGCGCCTGCCTTGCAAGCACAAGGGCCTGAGTTCGATCCCTAGTACCCAAAAATAAATGAATAAATATAATGGAGGCCTACTTCTAGTTTAGTATTTTTTTGTTCTGCGGATATGCATCTCACCTTAGAGGCCATGTAATAGGGCAAGAAGTAGCTGAGTTTTGAGAATGATCAAGATCACCTTTCCACACTCCTGTAAGTAACAGTTTATCTGCAAGGAATAATTTGCTACAATGTAAGAAAAGGTGAAAGTGGCAAAAAAAAAAAAAAATCTTCCAGCAGGATAGAATGTGCTCACCTTAGAGGACTATTTTGAGGATAGAGAGGAAAACTGTAAATGCTTTGAGGACTCGAAAGGGCTAAATATATATGGTATTACTATAATGTGTGTCAGAGTAGTCTAGGGAGTAAAAAAATCAGTAAAGTTTAAATGTTTATATGCAAGAGTAAGGTTAAAATTGTATATGAATAAATATATATTTATTTGTACACGTTCTTGACCCAAAGGAGCTATTCTGAAATGCTACCTCAAAGTGAAAGTAGAGAGTGCAGGGTTTGGGGGGTAGTCTCTGTAGAGTAACACAGAAAATACTGGAAAACCTAAGCTAGGGAAAAACAGAGGTCACACTGATGCCCGGGAACAGGAGGCAGATGACCCAGACCAGAGGCAAGATCCAGTGTGTTCAACTAAATAAACATTTTACTATAAAAATTAGTGCTGATATTAACTTGTTCTATAATAATCAGCCCACTTACAAGTAAAGCTGAAACAATTGAGGATCACTCTTAATTCTAGCCCTTTATCATCAGTTTGGCATGTGTCCTTCAAAGAATAAGTCAACTGAGGGGAAACTACCCCTTTATAGAGAGAGCTGGAAATGAGACCCAAGTGCTAGACTAGTGAGAATCGTTATCATGCTATAGAAAGCTCGACTTTACACAGAATCTGTTGGTAATGATTATAATGCACTCAGTCAGGTATGGCCACCAGAGGAGAGAGAAAAAGCTCAGGGAAAGAAAGAGCAAATTCATTATACTCAAGATCCCAGGGACAGAAGCATGGCACGCCACACAGCCACATGGGAAAGGCACCAGCGTCATCAGGAAGCTGAGGACAGGAGTAGGAGCAGGGGAGGGTTTGAGCCAGGGCTTTTGTTGGGCTTTCCAAGAAAAAGCAAGTTAGAGCAGCATTAGCAGTTTGGGAATGGCTCCTTTGACAACTTGGGTGAGTCTAAGATAGAGGGCTTGCCCCTAGTGACTGCCACCTGGGCCTGGGATGATTAAGGCAGAAGTATTTGCCTCCTTAGATATAAAGGCAAGATAGAGGAGGGTTTGCATCAGTTATTTGTATATCAAAGTATGCATGTTGGGGAGGTCTTTAAGAGTTAACTAGCCCTAAGATGGGCAGTCTCTCTGCAGCCAAAAAGTTTGTTTAAATAATGTCAAAAACATCAAAATACAGAGAAAAATTTGAATTTTTTTTGGTACCGGAGATTGAATTTGGGACCTTGCACTTGCAAGGCAGGCGGCGGAACCACTAAGCTAAATCCCCAGTCCTTGAATATTTATAATGCAGAGGCTTCACATTAATTTGGGAAGACGTCACAGTTGAGGTCAAATATTCCTACACACGTGTCCAGTTTCTGCTTTTCATGGAAGGCTGTTCCAATTACGTCTTTTGAGAGAGTGAGTGTTTGTTATATCACCTGTCATTTCTCAGGAAATAACAAGAAAAGGAAATCCTACCTATTTGGTCTCTTTCGTAGAACCTTTGCCTCAGGCTACTAATAAGAAAGGGCTCGCTATAAATGAGTCACAGAAGAAAAATCACAGAAGCTTTGTGCTTAGGCAAATATGCATTTTTTTTTAGGAAAAGTGAACAATCAAAACCAAAATCCAGGCCCCAAAATTAAATTTTGAGGCCCAGATAAATGAAATGAATGACCAGTGTTCTATAATAGTCCATGGAGAGTTCAGCACTGGACAGATTTTCAATATCTTATCACTGGAAAAAGACATAGGTTTGGAAAAACAAAGCAACAAAACAAAACAAAGAATATCCACTGGGCCATGGTTCCTAATGAATGTGTTACAAGGTAACTATGTAGTGTTAACTTCCATGCCAGATACAGAAGAGAAACCAACATGCTAATGAGTTAGGTAAAAATATTTCTAGTATCAATGATGTAATTTATTCCCAAGCGTAATTAAACTATGTATGTTCACATTTCGTATTTGTACTTTGCTATTTATTCAAATTCTATTTTCAGAGCCCTGAAGCTGTTAAGAATTTTCTTTCAGCAAATGGTGATGAATCAAAAAACTGAATGTCATTAACCCCATGTTCAGTTGTTAAGATTGACATACATTTCTCATCCACAATCAGGGATATCAGGAATCTTTCATTACCTGCCTTCCCCTCACGGTGGGAAGGGTGGCTGGAGGCGTGGGCTGACCATATTTTGGTTCCGTTATTTATTGTTCACAGGTGTAGGCTGCCACTGTAGGAGCCACCTTGAAGGCGTTAATAAAAACTTCTAAATATCAGTCACCACAGCTCCACAATGGGGATAATGATACCATTTCCTAGGGCCATGGTAAGGAAAAAATAAGATAATATATGTAAAGTTCTTAGCATAATGCCTAGGAACTGGAATGTACAAGAAACAATATTTATTATCAAAGTAACTATATTGTCCATATATAATCATTTTATTGTTATTTATTATTAAAATCTATCCATTTCTTTGGTCATTTCCTCCAATTTTTCTGTTTCA